TCATGGGTTGTATTCTTATTGTGCGCTCTCTAAGTCTCATAATGGCAGCCACCACCGAGGACTGACTAGAGTTTTCTCCTTGTTAAGGAAGCGCTATCAGTTGTTCGATGTAGCTGAGATCAACGGCTCACATGCGTCGGTCTTATATGGACTGATGTTAGGCTGCCAACACACCTTCATGTGGAGGGACTTAGGTCAACACCTATTTCTGTATTAAAATTCTCAATGGTATGTTGTGAAATGTACATCGCAATCCATTTTCGTTACAAAAGTAGAGTATTGTCTCTCCTATAAATTTTGTTCGTGCTGCATGCAGTGATTAAAAAATAGTTCGCTTAGCCTATTCTGCTTTAGCACCAACCAGTCACGTTCTCCTCAATAATTTACCAGAAGCAGAATCCCCACATCTCTTTCCACGTACGTCTACATCCCCACAAGGTACACTATAAATACCCGTCCCGTGGACACTCCCTGCAACTCACCAAGCAAACACTTGAGCTAACCATATCTAGTCCATATCCTCTCCCAAGCTAGCTCGAAGCAGCAATGGCGAAATCTTTCACCTTATTAGCGCTACTTAGCGCACTGGTTGTCCTCTCACTTCTTGTGAGCCCCATTGCTTGTTCCCGCAAGCTCCCCAGGCCTGCAACCAAGGCCCACAAGAACCACACCGCTGCTACCCCTTCGTCGTCTGCCGCTTATGGCTCCGGCGGCTGGTTAGCCGGCGGCGCGACGTATTACGGCGCCCCCAACGGCGACGGAAGCGACGGTTAGTGCTTGCATGCTTACTCCGCTGGGAGTAGAACGTGGTACATTAACTGCACCGCACAGCGTTGAGATGGGTGGAGCTAAAAATCAGGCCAAAAATGCAGGTGGCGCGTGTGGCTACCAGAGCGCTGTCGGCAACCGGCCGTTCTCGTCGATGATCGCCGCCGGCAACCCGTCGCTCTACAGAGATGGCAAGGGCTGCGGAGCGTGCTACGAGGTCAAGATAACCCCTAAACAGAGTGCTGACTTTTCGTGTATAGCTCCACTCCATTAATGGTCCTAACGAAATGAATTCATATGGCGCGCGTACGCAGGTTAAATGCACAGGCAACCAGGCATGCTCCGGCCAGCCGGCGACCGTCGTCATCACCGACGAGTGCCCCGCCGGGGCCGCTTGCCTCGGTGAGGCCGCCCACTTCGACATGAGCGGCACCTCCATGGGCGCCATGGCGAAGCCTGGCATGGCCGACAAACTCCGGGCCGGCGGTATCATCAAGATCCAGTACAAGAGGTACATACTAATTGAGCGAAGAATTTTGCGCTTGCAGCACAAATTAACAGAGACCGCATTATAATAACTAAGCTAATTTAATCTCGGTGTTTTCGTTAACCGCAGGGTGCCATGCAAGTACCCTGGCATGAACATTGCCTTCAAGGTGGACCAGGGCTCCAACCCCTACTACCTGGAGGTCCTGATCGAATTCGAGGACGACGACGGCGACCTCAACGCCGTGGACCTCATGGAGGCCAACTGCGGCACCTGGACGCCCATGGCGCAGAACTGGGGCGCGCTGTACCGCCTCAACTCCAACACCGGCAAGCCGCTGCGCGGGCCCTTCTCGCTCCGGCTCACCTCCGACTCCGGCAGGAAGCTCGTCGTCAACAACGTCATCCCCGCCAGCTGGAAGGCCGGAGCCACCTACCGCTCCTTGGTTAACTACCCCTAAGTTACAGCCTCATCAACTTTTTTTCACTGCGCCGTACGTGCTTGGCTAGTAACCAAGAAGTGCAGTGCAGAGTGTGGTCGTGGTAATTTAGAACCGCGGGTTAATTTCTACCGCGGGGATTGTATTTATACGAATATGCGTCCGGGAACGGCAGGAGGCTGTGTCAGAGGAGGAGGAGCAGGCCATGCAAAGATTGTGCCAGCTCTTCCCTCCATGGTCTCTCGGCGCTCCCCTAGTGATGCGTGTCGTCGATTTGTATGTATTTTGTTTCTCTTCCTCTGTTTTGTCGATGAGGAGAAAAGCTTGTAGTGCAGTGCAAACTAAAGTTGCACGCCGATGTATCAAGTTGTGTGAGTGTGTTTTTGGAGCCCAATCCTTGAGAGAAATGAACTTTTACCATCAGATAATTTATGTACTGAAATCTGCAATTCCAGCCACTTTATTCAGTTTAATTACCAAGCGTAAAGTCACTCTCTGAACTCTCAATGTGTGTATTACTACTTGCAAACTGCACCTGAGCCACTCTTCGCTGGGGATGCGCTACATTTGCAGAACCTGCCCAAAGTGTGCAGAGCTCTTCCTATGAGCACTGATGTTTTTCACACTCCGTCCTTCATTCTTCATGGACCGTGTAAAGTACCTGTGTTTATAGGAGCGCCATTATTCCCATGGAAAATGAGTACTAGGAACTTTGGTGATCAGTTTTGCTCCTCGGTTACTCCGGTTGTTCTGCCGACGATGACACATGCAGTTCTCCCAAAAAAAGTACAGGAAGGCAGAGGTAGAGACTGTACTGGTCATCAATTATCATCAACACAAGAACTGTTCTCAGAAGGCACTACTGTTACTGAAAGATCGTCGGTTGTACGAGCACCACCCTACAAGCCTACACACAAGAGCTTCAGTTGTACTACTATTCGACTTTACATACTAGAAGGTGATTTAATTATAGGTTCGGCATGTGGGTCTGATAAAATAAAGCTTTCAAGTGCAACCATATGGGACGAGAGGATACGTCCATGGATTTCGATTTAGAAAGTTATCAAGACCCATGCCCATTTCTACACGAGCATTGAGACCTTGGGAGGCTATTCAAGTTGCTAGTATATAATAATATATCTATGCTTCTCTTTTGTCACTTCTATAGATACATATTTCCTTCGTTTCTAAATGTTTGTTTTTCTAGAAATTTTAAATGGACTATCAAAAAAAAAAGATGAAACTCATGGGCACTACCACCCATGGTTTATTGATATAGGAGAAGCATCCCTTGTGAGAAACCAGAAATTCGTCCCCGACGTGGCTCAAACCCTGGTTGCTGGAGACGCCACTGCGCTCCCTTGCCACTAGGCTACAGCCTAGTTCTCTCATACGAACGTATATAGATATATTTTAGAGTATAAATTCATTCATTTTGTTTCATATGTAACGGAGGGAACATATTGTAGAGGCATAGAGCTATACATGCACCCTACTTAACTCCAATTTGTCCGTCATTGTGTAAAATCAGTGCACTCAAATGAAATGTTTAATATACAAAAAAAAACACTAGACCACATGATTGAGAGTTAAGATGAAGGATGATCAAATTTTATGCAAGGGTTCAATGTCGACAAATGCAGTTCTAGGTTGTTGGTCTTTACGGACACATGCACGAAGACTTTCCAACCATCATTGGCAAGGTCAAACCGGTTCTGATAGGGAAGCGGCGATAACAGCTTTGTCTGTCAACAATAGTGGCCGTTCGGTGGTTTTGGAATCTCGATGGAATTTTTATTACATTTGAGATGTTTTGTACTCCCTCCGTCTCAAAATACAAGATCATTTTTTAAAATAGCCTTGATCCTTTTCAGGAAAAAAAAAAGAGTGAACTTCATTTGTTCTTCCCGCTACAGCTTCTGCTGCTGGTGCTGCACGATCGAGCTATTCATTCTAGAATAAATAAGAATACAGAAACCGAGCCTCCGAAGTGACCGGCGCACATGTTCTCCGCGCGCCTCCGCGACCAGCAGCGTTCACTTGGACACTTCGGACGAACAGCGGCCCGCCGGCAGCCAACAACCGATGGAGCCGCAGCGGCCGGCGTGGGCATAGCATGCATGGCGCGCCCCCGCGTCAGTCGTCCGTTCCCGGCCCCGGCTCACGTGGAGAGATTCTCACGGACGCAGGGCCGGAGGCAGCCCGCGTGCACATGGTGGTCACGTAAACCCTTAACATGTCAATTGGCCGCATCTATTCCATCCATCTACCTCGAGTCTTCCACCTTCGCCCGGCTAAAAAAGAAAACGAACCGGCAGATGCGTCTTTCGCAAGCGGCACGGCGGCATGTCGGTCGGGGTGATTTGCGGCGGATAATGTGCAAAAGCTGACAGACATGGCGGTTCAGATGGATGGAACCGGCCGGTGAATCCCGAGGTTTCCGAGCATCACATGGCGGGAGTGATCTCCTCGCGCTATCCGGCCATCCGGATCACACCTGTCGTCTTGGCCGGCGAGTGTCGGTCGGCGCCTCGGGACCGGCGTGCACGCCGTGCACGGCGCCGCATCGGCGTGTTTATTTACTCGCGCCGCTGCGTGATTCCATGACTCAGTGGGCTGCCGCCGGCGGTTCCGACTCTGCGTGCAGTAGGGGCTAGGGAGTGGCGAGTCAGCTTGCGAAACGGGGGCCGACCATAACTGTAATAACAGTCCGGGGTACCGAACTTTTAAATAGGGCCGGTTTTGCCTCCGGGCCCTGCCGTCGCGGTGTCGCCCATGTGAAGCGAGTAAACAAGGGGACTGGTGGAGACATCTTGGACATGGAGTGTCTGGATTCTGAGGCAAATATACCAGTGATGCTTGAACTTGTCACGGATGTTTACTTTGTTAGAATATTATTGTGTTTAAGATATAGGTAGGAGTTAGAGATAGAATAGGTTTAACATGTACGACTTGCCCTCTACTCCAAGTCTCTCTCCCTCACAATGTATTCTATATATACCTCATATGAGGGTCGGATCAATACAACAGAAACAACACCAATACCCATCCATCCTATAATTTTTATATGGTATTAGAACGGTTAGTTTCACGATGCCGATCTTAAGACCTTTCACACCTTCCGCAGCGCGCCGCCCCCCGGGGAGATTAATCTCCTCTCCCCGGGGGCGCGGCACCCAATTGATCAAAGATCAGATTGGTTCCGTAGATTAGATTAGATGAATTCTTCATAGTTAGAAATTCCATTAGATTAGTTTTTCATTAGCCACCAAATAAATCCAACGACCGTCAGACTCCGGAGCCTACAGGAATACGATCTTCTTCATGAAATCGTGCGGTGCCAGGCGCGGCCATGTACGGACGCATGGACATTGATTCGACCGGTCTACACGGCGCGAGGACGACGATCGTGGCGAGCAGCTGCGAAGGGGACGCACCTCCGATCGCGGGAGGGCGTAGATCTCGCGGCGATTTCCATCACGTACGAGATCGTACGCGGATCTCCCGACGGCGCAACCAGCAACTCCTTCGAATCAGCAGTTCAGCACGGAGTTACCCATCGCCAAACGCCAGCAGCCGCATCGACTTGTACGCGGAACAAGGCCATGCGCACATGCATACGTGCATGGCAAAACTCGCAAAGACGGCCATGCGTACGCGCATGGCATGGTGCCTTGAACTTGAGCCACGGGCCTTCTGCAAGGATCGAAAGGCAACGACGCGTGGGCCTCTGCGATCTGCGGGTGGGAACAACCATCATCGCGATCCGATCTGGCCGACAACCACAGCAGTCTCGGTGTGTCGGACACCGGGAGAGCCCGTTCGAGACACGCGCACGGACGCGATCTTCAGCAAGCCGACTCCATCAACCTCCTGCGCGCCGGCTTGCCATCTACATCAAGTTGTACGATCTACACCGGCCGCCATGTCCGGAGCCGAGCTACATCATCTTCTGCATGGCTGCATCGACCGCCACAGTCGATCTGCACGGCTACACCACACCTCTGCATCGAGCCGAGCGACATCAAGTTGTACGACTACGCCAGGCTACGAGCCAACATACTTCTTCGACACGACACGACATCGACACTTCGTTACCACGAGGGATGCCTTCAAGCGACTCATCATTGTCGACACGCCACGGCAACGCCATCACAGGCACTTCATCACCAAGGTCTTCATCAACGTGGTCTTCACCAATATCTTCATCAACACACCACCACTGCCGCCTCGTCCACAAGATGGACACCTAGCATCCTCTGACGGACTTTTCTGCAAGACGCGACCTCGACGACGGCAATGACCGCGTCACGACGACGGCATCGACCGCGTCATCCACGACGGCACGACTGCATCGACACGGCGTCACTACAGTGATGACCCTATACAGCCACACGGTTCTGGCAAAACCGATGTGTGCTCGGTGGGCTTCCTCCGGTCTTGGCAAAACCAGTGGACTCATCGCCGGCGACACCCTCTGACATCTGCAAGGTGCATCGTCAACGTCTGCAGCTCCATCATAGCGCATTTTTTTTTGCGCCTCCAGCTTTGTGCGGCGTCATCATCCACGACGACTACACCATCGATCATGGCTACCTCGACCATGGCTATATCGCAATGATCGGCTACCTCTACATCGACATTCATGGCTACGTCTACAGCAACTCATCGGCGACAACTCCAGTCAACAGCGTCCGCGTCGTCACTAGCGTCCACGCCACTCCCGCTGTGACTGCGGGAGGGAAGAGAGGACAAACAAGGAAGGCACCAGAAGGGGACGCAGTCACCGCCCTAGGTGTCGACCCATCAGAGACGCAGTTGATGATGGCGCAGTGGAGAAGACGACGAAAGCGCAAGACTACAAATTCAATCGCAATCGTCCGCTTCACTCCCGCTACGACTGAGGGGGAATGTGGGACGCAGTCACCGCCCTAGGTGTCGACCCATCAGAGACGCAGTTGATGATGGCGCAGTGGAGAAGACGACGAAAGCGCAAGACTACAAATTCAATCGCAATCGTT